AGAGAAGCAGAGAGACATAGAGACGAACAAGATAAGACGTTAGCATGAGCAGAGAGAAAGAGAGAGACTGAAGAGACAGAAAACGATCTGAGAACGAGACGAGATGGCAGACGAGAGAGAGAGTGGAGGCAGCAGAGAGAAAGAGAGAGAGAGAGGGAGAGAGAGAGAGAGAGAGAGAGAGAGAGAGAGAGAGAGAGAGAGAGAGAGAGAGAGAGAGAGAGAGAGAAGAGAGAAAGTAAGAGCGAGAAAGAGAGAGAGGGGGGGGGGAGGGGCGGGGGAGAGAAGCCGTTTATACACGTTCTGGATGTGGCGCCGTTTCTAGACTGAAGTGTAGGACAGTTTCGCCGCACCTTTTGCGCCCGGCAGTGGCAATCTGTGACGTCATTCCCAAACCTGGGACGTCCGGGGTTTGGAGAAAAAAAGGAGATGACGGCCTTAGTGAGACACATTCGAGTACATACAAAGGAGAAACCATATATCTGTGACATTTGCAAAAATGCCTTCTCTCAAAGAGGTTCTTTAGTAAGTCACATGAGAAGACATACAAAGGAGAAACCATATAACTGTGAGATATGCAACAAGGACTTTTCAGAGAGATCAGCCTTAGTTACACACAGGAGAGTACATACAAAGGAGAAACGATATACCTGTGACATTTGCAAAAAAGCCTTCTCTCGGAAATATGATATAGTAGTGCATATGAGAGTACATACAAAGGAGAAACCAAATATCTGTGACATTTGCAAAAAATCCTTCTCTTATATAGGTTCTCTGGTAGTGCACATGAGAGTACACACAAAGGAGAAACCATATATCTGTGAGATTTGCACAAAAGCCTTCTCTCAGAAATGGCATCCAATAAGACACATGAGAGTACATACAAAGGAGAAACCATTTATCTGAGATTTGCAAAAGAACCTTTTCTCGGAAATTTTATCTATTAAGGCACATGAGAGTACATACAAAGGAGAAACCACATATCTGTGACATTTGCAAAAAAGCTTTCTCTGATAAAACATATCTAGTAGTGCACATGAGAGTACACATAAAGGAGAAACCATATATCTGTAATATTTGCAAAAGAGAAAATTCTCTCGGAAATTTCAACTAGTAAGGCACATGAGAGTACATACAAAGGAGAAACCATGTATCTGTGACATTTGCAAAAAAGTTTTCTCTGAGAAAGGTTCTCTGGTGAGGCATTTGAGGATACATGCAAAGGAGAAACCATATAGCAGTGAGATTTGCAATGAAGACTTCTCAGATAAGTCTTAGTGGATCACATTGGAGAACATGAAGAGGATAAGCCATGTATGTGTGGTTTCCAATAAAATCTTATCTCTAAGATAAATATAATAATCTAGTAAGCCATTAGAAGGTACATACAAAGGAGAAACCATATAGCAGTGAGATTTGCAATGAAGACTTCTCAGATAAGTCTGTCTTAGTGGATCACGTAGGAGAACATGAAGAGGATAAGCCATTTATGTTTGGTTTCCAATAAAACCTTATCTCTAAAATAAATTCTAGCACAATACAAGAGATTACATGCAAAGGAGCAATGTACCTGAGGATTCTCCAAGAAATATGATTTAGTGATTATGTGCAGGCATGCAAAGTTGAAGCCATATAGGCATTCTCTGGGAAAGAAAGATTACTCTGGTGTACATAAAGGTCACAGGCCTAACATGTATGAGTTCTGTAAATATAACTTCACCTTGAGTAGAAATTTAGTAGGGCACATGAAAATTATCAATGAAAAAAAAATGATCTTAAAGGAAGACTTCCCATTGACATTTTTGTGGCAGATGCATCATAGAGTTTGAAGGTTCTCTTTTTCTGACTTGTGTTTTATAAGATTTTGTTTATGTGTAGTTTTGTCAATATATATCAAGTTCTTTGTGCTATTACCTGTATTTTAGTCTCCATAGACCTAATGTCACACAGGGGAAGTCAAAAGACAACCACTAATGTTCACAGTGTTTCAAAAAATTGTTCCCCCTCTCCAATACAGCCATTTATATGGAGGTCATTGGCCGATTTATGTGTGTTTTGTAACTTCTATCTTAATATTGGTATTACAGGTGGACCCTTCATATTCTTATCATGTGAAATACTATAAAAGATCTGCATTAAAAGGTAAAGGAAAGTGGATTCAAGGAATTTTGATATTTATGTCCATTTACATTAACAAAAACACATTTGCATCTATGTATATATGTATATATTTATCTGTGTACATATATCTATCATATCTATGCATAAATTCATACTTTTCTTATACAATAAGTAATTACTCGGGATAACTTTGTGTTGTTATTTTTTTCAAAAGGACATGAAAGAAAATTAATGTCTCTTTACTGGTGGAGTTGTATTTAAAGTATTTCATTATATCTTGTGATGTACATGTGTATATGTGATGCAGATGTGATGAAAGTGTATCAAATGCATCTGTTTTGACGTGAATATATCCATTCTCATTCATTTCTTTTTTATGTCAATCACAATGAGCACTAGTATTTCATATCTTTGTTTTCATTTTGTTGACAACCATCATCAGTATGTGTGAAGCAAGCGATAAAGCAATTGACTTCATGTGAGGGGAACATTCACCTTTGTGCCTTGAGTTATTCTGAAAGGATAAGCAGCGTCCAGCAGTCGTGTCCTCATATATCCTTTTAAGGACAGGCACACCTATAGCCATTATAAGGTAAGGACCTAAGACATGTATATGGATCATGAATCATGAGCGTGTGGGTCAGCTATACACAGCACACTATTGCACAAGGATTACATTATAGAAAATTCTGGATGTGTTATGGTAGGATATATGTAAATATATATATATATATATATATATATATATAATATATATAATATATATATATATATATGTTTATATACATATACAGATGTGGCATATATAGATATGGCATAACCTCACACACTAATATGTGCAATATCCTTTTTGTTCTTTGTGTGCAAACATATTAAGAGATCTTTTTAATCTATTTGTTTATAACTCGGTTGAAAGGGATACACTGGCCAGCCAATCAGAGCACAATGCTCTTAGATGTATTTCATGCATGCCTTAGATTTATATTTTCTTTACTTTTGAATTGTTATGTATATTTCTTGGTATAAAATTTTCAAGTAATAATGTTTTTGTTTTTATTTATTTATGCTACTTTTGCAGTGTAAGTAAAATGTCTACAATATAAGGCTGATGATAGTTACTAAAACAACAGGGTAAAAATTTTGAATGTTATTAGTCATTGGGATATCTTTGAAATCATGGTTTATTTTGATGTGATGAGAATAAATCTGATGATCATTTCTGGCACCAACTTTCCCAAACTTGAAATCCATAAATACATACACACACACACACACACACACACACACACACACAGACACACACACACACACACACACACAGACACACAGACACACACACACACACACACACACACACATACAGACACACACACACACACACACACACACACACACACACACACACACACATATATATATATATATATATATATATATAATATATATATATAATGAAGAAAAACCCACAATGCACAAACTAGATTTAGAGGAAGCGCTTCGTCTCTCTTGCCTCTTCAGACCCGAAGATGGAGTCGAGGACGATTCCGAAACTGTTGTCTCACTTGCATCAATAAATCTAGTTTGTGCATTGTGGGTTTTTCTTCCATATTATCAACACGGTATGTGTTTTTTTTCATTGCATATATATATATATATATATATATATATATATATATATATGACATATATATATATCCAACCCATCTTTTGGTAAAGTCTACGGTCAAATCTGTTTCATTTAATTATATACAATAATGGATACTAGGCCACATTATACTGCCAACAAGGTTAGGGGTCTCTGCGCCCAACCCCCACTTGGATACCCCTCTGCGCCCAACCCCAGGATACATACATGGATACTGCTGAGGGAAGGTTGACGGGGGTCTCTGCGCCCAACCCCCACTGGCATGGATACTGCCTGAGGAAGGTTGAGGGGGTCTCTGCGCCCAACCCCACTGGCATGGATACTGCCTGAGGGAAGGTTGAGGTCTCTGCGCCCAACCCCCACTGGCATACTGCCTGAGGGAAGGTTGACGGGGGTCTCTGCGGGCATGGGCTAATGCGCCCAACCCCCACATGGATACTGCCGGGGGTCTCTGCGACTGGCATGGATACTGCCTTGACGGGGGTCTCTGCGCCCAACCCCCACTGGCATGGATACTGCCTGTTGACGGGGGTCTCTGCGCCCAACCCCCACTGCATGGATACTGCCTGAGGGGAAGGTTGACGGGGGTCTCTGCGCCCAACCCCCACTGGCATGGATACTGCCTGAGGGAAAGGTTGATGGGGGTCTCTGCGCCCAACCCCCACTGGCATGGATACTGCCTGAGGGGAAGGTTGACGGGGGTCTCTGCGCCCAACCCCCACTGGCATGGATACTGCCTGAGGGAAGGTTGACGGGGTCTCTGCGCCCAACCCCCACTGGCATGGATACTGCCTGAGGGGAAGGTTGACGGGGTCTCTACTCACGCCCAACCCCCATGGCATGGATACTGCCTGAGGGGAAGGTTGACGGGGGTCTCTGCGCCCAACCCCCACTGGCATGGATACTGCCTGAGGGAAGGTTGAGGGGTCTCTGCGCCCAACCCCCACTGCACTTCATTTCTCTGCGGGGGTCTCTGCGCCCAACCCCCACTGGCATGGATACTGCCTGAGGGGAAGGTTGACGGGGGTCTCTGCGCCCAACCCCCACTGGCATCCATTCTCTTCACCTCGGCATGTACGGCAAGAGAGAAATACATTTATATCTTGAAACACCAAACTTTCCTTCACTTCTGTCCATTGTCTGGATGACCTGGTTTCTAATAACTCTTTTCCTGCATTTGGGGCACTTGATGGGCTGACATCTATTTCTTCTGCATAGCCACTATATTGTGTTTAGAAATGACCTGGAATCGACGCAGCACTGAAAACGAATAATTTCTCAGCGGCGCTTTGTCAAGGAATGCCGAGTCGCACTGTTGAAAGTCATGTTTTAAATTACTATCAAAACACGTTTGAAAATTTTGATGAAAATAACAAATACAAACAATACATGAATTAGGGAAAGAGATGTTGAAAATTACAAAATTATTGTTTTTACAGGTGCTTGGGCAAAGTGATAGTGAACTTGACCACAGATGACAATAATGAGTTCATAAAAATGTTTTCCTTCGCAATGTCAACATGGCATGGGTTGATATCACTTCTCTGTCATGTGTCTCCTTCATGCACCTTTTGCCATGGATGAAATGTTTCAGTTTATGTCAAGGTAATAATTCTGACTATCTTATAAAATATTATAAGACATTAGAAGACATTCATTATTATTGTTATTATTTATAAGACATTATAATACATTATAAGACATTTGTCATGTTTATAAGGCATATTATATTATATTTATTATATTCATATATTATTAGATTCTATTTATTATATTCATATATTATTAGATTATATTTATTATGATTATTTATTATATTGTTATTATATTTATTTATTATCACATTGTTTAATTATATTTATTATATGTGTTTATCATATTTATTTAAAATATATTTATTAATACAATTATATTTATTATATTTTTAAAATATTATAAGACATTATTATTATTTTTATTATTTTTTTTTTCTACTGTATCTCTGACTGTCTTATATAACCTTTGACGTCTAGCACATTTATTTGTTATAACCCTTATGTAACATGTCAATGGCACAAAAACAATAGAGCACAAAAACAATATAGAATATATTCACCAGAATGTGGAATATTGAAATGTTAAAGTCCCTCCTATGTCATTTTCTCTCTGAGCAAGGGAATAAGGCGATCCGGATTCACTTAAGCGAACGTCAACAAAGGCAAAAAGACAAGTAAACGTATCGTCTACTGCGGCGTCAATATTAAGTGGTTAGTATATTACCAAGTTGTTAGATCATTATTTGTTTTATGTCATTTCTACCATGAAAACTCCGAGAGCAATGTGGAGTGGCGGAAGAAGTAAATAGGTAAGTAGAATAACTGATGTAGAAGGCAAGTAGGAAAGAGCGAAAAAACTAATTGATATTTTGAAGCTTTGTAAGCGTGAGAATGAAAGGACTGTAAGTAAAGAAAAGAGGGAATGCCGAATATAGAGATAATTGGATGCTATGTCAAGAAGCAGAAGACAATAGAACTTGATAATATGTTAATTATCCAGAACACGATTACTTCAATCACTATCAAAGATGAACACTTCTGCAATTATTTTTGCAACATAGAGTTGGGAATGATTCTTTGTTTGACTAAGTCATTAAAAAAATATTTTGTTTTATCACAGTATGTTTTCAGGAGATTGTTGGCATTACTAGTGTAGAGTGCATTGAAGGGCATATGAGTGCTTGATTTGCAACTCTTTTATTTATAGATTAAATTCTTATTTACCTAAAGTTTCCAGTGATTCTGTACATAATGAAGGTTCATGTTTTAGGTTTTTTATTTGTACATTATGATAAATGTTTGAATGGCACCTGAATGACTGCTACTTTTAGATAGATAGATTAAGATAGTCGCTCCTGTTGGTGCTCCAGCAAAGAACAGCAATGTTGCATGTTTAACGTGGGAGCTTCTGAAGTAATTCCAATGGAGAGAGATCTTCTTTCCTATATTTTTCACCTTATTCTCTACAATTTCTGTGGATAAATGGAGATTTATTTTCTGAGGGGGTAGGGGGGAGGGGGGCACCTTCTCTGATGGACGTATTTCTCAGGCTGAGGGCTCTGTTCCCAGACCACTTTCATTGGCTATGTTTCCTTGTAACCAAAAGTTAGAGCAAATAATCATGATTTACAAGAGGCTGGATGGAGATCTGTCATTGTATCAGGAAAATTGGGTAGATGTATTTTTAATGTCAAATTTGCACTGTTGCTTACACATTAGGTACTCTGAGGCTTTTAGGTAAAACTTTACAATAAGGATACACTAATAGGACTAATTGAAGATGATATTGTTGTAAAGGATAATGATTTGCAGTCATTGGTATAAAAAAATTTGTCAACACCATTGGTTATGCTACTGTAGCAGCCACGACCCGTAATTGCGGCACAGCATGATTGCCACTATAGTTGTTTTAATGTTTTTTAATAACTGTGATAATAACAAAAATAATAACAATGATAATAGCAATGTGAATATTGAGGGATAGAAATTAGTATATATATGTATCTATATGCATATATATAAATATATGTATATATGCATATATCTATATGTGCATATAATTATATGTATATACATATATTTATTAATATTTATGCATATATATATGCATACATACATACATTATATGATGTATATATATATATATATATATATATATATATATATATATATATATATATATATATATATATATATATATATATATATATATATATATATATATAATATATATATATATATTTATATATATATACACATATATATTCATATATGCATATATCTATTTGTACATGTAGTTAAAAGTATATACATATATTTATCCATATTTATGCATATATATACATACATACATACATTATGTGATATATGTATATATATATATATATATATATATATATATATAATATATATATATATATATATATATTATACATATATATATATATATACACATATACACATATATGTGCATATATATACATATATATACATATATATATGCCTATATGTATATGTACATGTAGTTAAAAGTATGTACATATATTTATCCATATTTATGCATATATATGCACATAATGAAGGTTATATATACATATATACATGTATGTATACATATATATATATATATATATATATATATATATATATATATATTATACTATATATATATATACACATATACATACATATATGGATATATATATATATATATATATATATATATATATATATATATATATATATATATATATATATATATATGTATGTATGTATATCTATACATTTATATACATTTATGTATATATATGTATACATGTATATATGCATATATATGTATTTATGCATATAGATGTATATATATTAGTAGACCTCATAACCTCACCTGATTTCACCTTTCCTTGTGTGTGCGAGAAGCAGGGGCGGGTCCAGAGAATTTTCTGGTAGGGGGCACAGGGGGTAACAACTATAAATCTGGGAGGGCTGCCAGATTATATACTGTGGGCCATTACAATGAGTAAGTGACAATTGGGGGGCACATAGGGTGGCCAATCAGATTGCAGGGGGGATGGGTGCCCCCCTGTGCCACCAGGGAAGCCCCACCTCTGGGGAGAACATTTGTTTTGTGTGTGTGTTGTCAATATTGGTGCTGTTGTCATTATTATAGACATTATGATTATTGTAGTATTATTGACATTACTTACAGCAATATCAGAAATTATTTTCAAAAATCTATAAGTGGCTCAGTAGTGACTTCATACTTGTGGAGCCATCTTTGTGTAAAAATAATAAATTAATTAAACTCACAGTGTTGGGTGGCTTCTCGTTGAAAGATGTCCCTCCCCTCCCGAGTTACAGGTGGACCAATCAGGTTAAAAGGTGTTTAGTACCAGCCAATCAGAGCAGTTCTAGGCTATGCCCCCCTGGCATTGCTTTTCAAGGACCTGAGAGTTTACACTCACAATTGGCTTGATACATGCTACCCTTGACATTACTGTGTAAGACTATTATTATCATTGATATTCAGATCATTACCATTAATTATCATTATTATAATTATCATTATTGATATTAGTAGGATTGTTTTTATTTCATTATTATTACATTATTACTAATGATAATAGCACTTTTACTAATATCTAGTTAATCTTATAATTTTTTTTTCATGAATATACTTATTATTTTCATTATTACTAAAATAATAGTAATTACAAGTAAATTGATATGTTTACTATACATATGATAGAATATTAATATCCTTATTGCTGCTATTAATATGGTCATTATTGGTATCATTATTATACTTATCACTATTACAGTTGTTATAATCATGAATGTTAATGATATTGATATCATTATTATCCCTATAATCATTGTTGTTGTCATCACTGTTATCTTGATCATCATTGTTATTTTCATTATTATTAACATATTTTTTTTCTTCATTATTATTGGTATTATATGTATTAGTATCATTATTTTTTTATAATATGTATTACTATTAAGGCGGCTGTCGCACTCAAGAAGGAAGTTCGTCATTTATGATAAAAAAAATTGTGATTTTTTGATATGATATATATACATATACACTGATAAACACCACCAAATTTCATATCATTTGAATAGTAAACAACGGTGTTATTTAAGAAAAATGAGTTTGTGAAAAATCACAAAGTTTGATATTCACCCTTTATCCATTAACCAAACTTGTTGAATAAAATGCCACATATACTCTATAACAATACAAAAAGTCTCCGTTATAGGAATCTTTGATTTCCTTTTAGTTTAGTGGGAATTTATTTTTTTCTAAATTCTCAGTCCTATGAACTCAAGATATGATATATGGACTTCTATTACGTGAATGAAAATATCCATGATGTAAAAAATCACAAATCTATTCGGCTTTCAAAAGACCCAAACCCTATTAGAATCTCCAAACAGTTATGGAGAAATATAAAAGAGTGTTGGCAAACATATTGTTTCCAGATATCGGGCTCAGAAGTTTAGGATACTTTTCCGTCAATTTTTTATATTTTTTTTAATTATTTTTTTTTTTAATTCTTATCTGTGCGTCAATCTTTCTGCATTCTATAGCATTCGCATGGTATTCTAGTGTAGCTGGTACCTGGTCCCCCCCTTTTGCATAGTACTTATGGCAATAACTGCACATGATTGTAGAATTAGCGCGTGTCATCACAGATTTCGCAATGCCTAACCTGGCCATGTGAGGTATTTCATAAGTATAAACAACTGCTGCAGCTGTGATTGAGATTTATTTCTTATCATATAATGTTTATTATATACAAACATAACAGAAATATTACGTCTGTGGATTGCCAAAGCCTACGAGATTACACGAGATTTTTTCAATTTTTTGAGTATTTTAAAAAATATATGTCAAAAATCTACGGCGACGGCCCCCTTAACATTATTAATATTGCTGTTACCTAGGCCCTTTTGAGGGACTGATATACTATTTTTTATCACTCTTAAGTCTTCCTCAAGTAGATGAGTTGAATATATCCCAAATACATTCAAATATAGCCCACTGGATGACACTTTTGTTCCACTCTCTCTATGCAGGCCCCATGTTTGAATAAGAATACTTCCAATTTTACCTATGACTTCACTTTTATAAGATTCACTCTATGTCAAATTTTAAATAGTTATTACAAAGACAAGAAATAAATCTATACATTTAATAGGTACTTACACAGTGTTTCCTTGATGATTCTAATATCTTCCCTCGGAGAATATGAAGAGTTGTAGACTCTTGTCAATATCACACACACTTTGCTCAGCATTCATTGCAGTTTTTAAGATTATCAATAAATTCACCAAGAAACATCTGTTACGTCATCCATGTATCATCACAGTTGGTGCTGAACTGCGGTATAAGTGCCACACAAGTACCCTGGTGTCTTCTGACCCAGCTAACCCAATACCGAGCACAGAGGATTATCACCCTTATGTCCCCAAGGCAAAATGTCTATAGTGCCTTGTAAAACACTAAAAACTTATCCACACCTTAGGATCAACACTGTAGCTTCAGTGGAGTGTGTTCCCAGGAACTAACATTCCACTGATCATAACACCACTGGAAGACCATTTCCATGGTGTATTATGTTCTCCTTCGATGACCTTTAAAATACCTTTGAGATATTATACCATAAATCTGGCCATTGGTATTACTAATTTTATTTGTATCAATTATTATTATAATATAATATAATACATGAAAATATAACTTCTAATCTGATCTTACATTGCTTTTTTAAAATTCTTATTGAGATATTTGTTGTATTGCTATAATGCTTATATTGACACAGAAAACATGATTTAACTTCTGGATTTTGTGTCATATTGGTAATTGCTTTCTTTCAGACAGAAAAATATCAACTATTGTTACCATCAGTGTCAGAATCATGAAAAACATGACTAGAATAACTTTTTGGCATCCTTCTTGCAGATGACTACGTGGGGAGGAGAAGCCTAAGCTCCCTTACTCTGCCCTCGTCTCTCCCATCCAGTCAAGCCAGGGTTCCCTTGAGTGAGGAGCCTCCTCTGTTGAGACCCAAGGAAAGGCACGTGCAGTCACTCAGCTACTGGAAGGTTGGCTGTGCGGAGAGTGTGTGGAGCCTTAAGGTAAGAAGATCATGGAAGAATAAGTTAAGCTGTTTCTTATTTTATTACTTCACATTCATGGGTAAATGTGGACTAATAAAATTATATATATTATATAATATAATATATATATATATATATATAATATATATATATATTATATATATATATATATATATATTTGTATCTGTGTGTGTATGTGTGCAGAGTGTAAATCATGAAGAAATATCAAGGAAGAATGAGGTTAGCATTTACATATTAATTTGCATATGCCTGTGGGCAAATGTGCAGTAATAATAATGTGTATATGTGTGTGTGTGTGTGGTGTGTGAGGGAGAGGAGAGAGACAGAGGGAGACGGAGCGAAGGAGAGAGAGAGAGGGAGACGGACAGAGAGAGGAGAGAGAGAGAGGGGGGAGAGAGAGGAAGGAGAGAGAGAGAGAGGGAGAGGAGAGAGAGAGAGAGAAGGAGAGTGAGAGAGAGAAAGAGAGAGAGAGGGAGAGAAAAAGAGAGGGGGAGAGAAGGAAGAGAGAGGGAGAGACGAAGGAGAGAGAGAAAGAGAGATGGAGAGAAGGAGAGAGAGAGATAGAGGGAGAGAAGAAGGGAAGAGAGAGGGAGAAAAGGAGAGAAAAAGAGAAGAGAGAAAAGATATATATATATATATATATATATATATATATATATATATATATATATATATATATATATATATGTTTATAAATATATGTGTATTTCAGTTATGATTTTTTCTTTCATTAAAAACAATTTTGTCAGATTTATGAAATATATCCAATTTCATCAGGATTTTCATCACTGATTTCTGTTGTTTCTTTGTTATAAGCATTCTGTTAATCAGAGGAAAATTATATTTTATTTCCTCTTATGTCAGTTGATAACCAATGTTGGTATTATTGCTTGTAATTTTTACTTTGAATTGTTAAACATCTAATTATTTCTGATAAATTATGTATTTTAACCATTACCCATGTTATGCATCCCTTTATCCTTTTTTGTATTCCATTCATAGGGCAACAATGAGTATTCTCTCCGACCAGATTCCTTTGGCCCCACTCATGGACAAGGAAATATTTGGTACAGGAGTCAGTATCAAAGAAGAGATCAGTGGAGATGTCACTGAGGAGATGTGGTTGGAAGTGAAGGAAGAACCATATGCAGATGAAGCAAATGATGAAGTGAGTGAAGTGAAAGTGAAAAATGAATTTCTTTCTTTCAGGGATCTTCAAGACCTTAAAAATGAAGCAAATGAAAAAGACTCGTGTGATATTATTGAAGATTGCAAAACCTTTTCGAGAGTGCCAGTTGCGGTCAAGGAAAATGAGAAAAAATGTTCATCAGAAGAGGATCAGGCAAATCATAAGGAAAATCATAAAGATATTACACACAGAAAAGTGTATAGGAAATTGAAGTCTTTTGTATGTGAAGTATGTGGCAAAGTTTTCTACAGAAAATCATATATAGAAAATCATATGAGACAACACACAAAAGAGAAGCCATACAACTGTGAAATTTGCAGCAAAGCTTTCTCTCAGAAATATAATCTAGTAGTACACATGAGAGTACATACAAATGAGAAACCATATATCTGTGACATTTGCAAAAAAGCCTTCTCTCAGAAAGGTAATCTAGAAGTGCACGTGAGAGTACATACAAAGGAGAAACCATACATCTGTGACATTTGCCAAAAAGGTTTCTCAGATAGATCTAATTTAGTGATACACTTAAGAGTACATACAAAGGAGAAGCCATATAGCTGTGCGATTTGTACTAAAAGCTTCTCACATACATCAACCTTAGTGAAACACAGAGAAGTACACACAAAGGAGAAACCATATATCTGTGACATTTGCAAAAAAGCCTTCTATCAAAGTGGTTCTTTAGTAAATCATATGAGAATACATACAAAAGAGAAACCATATATCTGTGAGATTTGCAATAAGGACTTCTCTCAAAGAGGTTATTTAGTAAATCATATGAGAATACATACAAAGGAGAAAACATATCACTGTAAGATATGCAATAAAGACTTTTCAGAGAGATCAGCCTTAGTAACACACAGGAGAGTACATACAAAGAAGAAACAATATATCTGTGACATTTGCCAAAAAACCTTCTCCTATAAAAGTTCTCTGGTAAAGCATTTGAGGATACATACAAAGGAGAAACCATATAGCTGTGAGATTTGCAATAAGGACTTCTCAGATAGATCTGTCTTAGTGAACCACAGAAGGATACATACAAAGGAGAAACCATATATCTGTGACATTTGTAAAAAAGCCTTTTCTCGAAGAGGTACTTTAGTCCGTCACATTAGAATCCATACAAAGGAGAAACCATATATCTGTAATATTTGCAGCAAAGCTTTCTCTGTGAAAGGTAATCTGGTAGTGCACATGAGAGTACATACAAAGGAGAAACCATATACCTGTAATATTTGCAAAAAAGCTTTTTCTGTAAAAAGTCATCTAGTAAGCCATTTGAAGGTACATACAAAGGAGAAACCATATAATTGTGAGATTTGCAATAAAGACTTCTCAGATATGTCTGTCTTAGTGGTTCACATAGGAGAACATGCAGAGGCTAAACCATTTATGTATGGTTTCTAATAAATCCTTATCTCTAAAATATATTCTAGCACAACACAAGAGATTACATGCAAAGGAGCAATGTGCCTGAGGATTCTCCAAGAAATATGATTTAGTGATTATGTGCAGGCATGCAAAGTTGAAGCCATATAGGCATTCTCTGGGAAAGAAAGATTACTCTGGTGTACATAAAGGTCACAGGCCTAACATGTATGAGTTCTGTAAATATACCTTCACCTGGAGTAGAAATTTTGTAGGGCACATGAGAATTATGAGTGAAAAAAAATGATCCACAGGGAAGACTTTCTTCTGACATTTTTGTAGCAGATGCATCGTAGAGTTTGAAGGTTCTCTTTTTCTGACTTGTGTTTTATAAGGTTTTATTAATGTGTAATTTTGTCAAGATATATCAAGTTATTTGTGTTATTTCTTCTATTTTAGTCTGCATAGACTTAATGTCACACTGGCAGTCAAAATATTCTCTGTATTCATTTTTAAGCAATTTATAGCAAGACTCATTGAAAAGCAGGATGGAGAGTGTGACATTTTGTTGCTTCTTTTGTCAAATATGATATTTACTTTTGTGTTTGCGGTTATATCATTGTTGATTTTTGTCCTTTTATAGTCTGAGGGATATATCTATCTATCTATATATCTATATCTATATCTATATCTATATATATATATATATATATATATATATATATATATATATATATATATATATATATATATATATGCAGAAGTGACTTGTATGTTTGTGGTTATATCATTGGTGAATTTTGTCCTTTTATAGTCTGAAGGATTAATGTTACTGTACATCGACAACAGAAATGTAAATAGACCAGAATTAGACAGCAATATATGTACCAGAGGTAAATGTATGCATCAAGCCGGGATCACTAGCGACAGCTAATCCCTTTCCTTTGTCTGTGGGTAATATTTCCACCCAAAATTCAGATATAATCTTTGTTTTG